CCTCAAATCTAAATAAAAAATTTATAATCATATAAATATTAAAGAAATTGTGTTTAACAAATACACTAGTAGAGTTTAATTTTTAAGATGTTAAGAAAGTGTTATAAAAATTACATAATATGTGTGGGGGGGGGAGGGTTTATGGATTATTAATTTTTAAAAAGAAAAGAAGGAAGAAGATTTTAAAAAGAACAAAGAGGAAAGAGAAAATCAATACCGAAATATGGGACCAACTAACTTATTTTATTATTTTCAATCTCATTTCTTCTTCTGCATGCATCACTTCCTCTTTTTTCTTTCTGTCTTCCTCTTGCTCGATGCACAGTGAGAAACTAAGACAGAGTGATCAAAATTATAAAAATAAAGCTCTATAATAGATACCTTAAATATGATCTCAAACTTTTTCAAACTATGTAAGTGTTTTAAATATTTTTCTTAATCACATACTTTTTTGATTTTTGATTTCTTAATGATAAAAAACCTAGGGTTTGATATAATTTGAATTTTTGAGACTTCAATTAATTATTTAGTCTTTAATAGAGTTAATGATGTTAGAATAATAATTGTATGATTTAAATTTTACCTAAATAATTGATTAAAACTTAGATAAAGAAAGAGAGGATGAGATACATATTTAATTTTTAAAAAATTAAATAAAATTTGACTTGATAAAACTCGAGTTTTATATCTGACAAAAAAATTGACTAAAGAATTGATTGAAGAGAGAGATAATGAGACAATTTTTTTTCAATATTAAATAAAACTTAACTTGATAGAAACCAAATTCTATATACATTTTTTACACAAAAAATATTTAAAACTCGATACTAATTAGACCAAATTTTAAATTTATAGCATCTAAGTAAATATCATTGAAAGTGTAGTATTGTGAGAAATTTTTTGTTATAGCATGAAAGTCAATTTGCCAGATTTGAACCTTTCCATCATAATTTATAAAATTTTTAGCTAATATGTAAATACCTCTATATAAGCACTCTCTTGTTTTTTTGGCCAATAAGCACTCTGTTGTCTCGGTATCTCTAAGCATTGTTTTTGTTATGCCAAGTTTACAAAAACCATCAGTACAACCAGGGCTTTATATTGCAATATAATAAGAAAACAGATTAAATAAATAAAATGTCACTCAAAATCACGTGAAACCAGATTCAAAATTATACCGCTGACAAGAATAATAAACAACTCTTAAAACGCAGCCCCAGAGCTGAGCCTAATGGCTAAATTTTCCCACAAAATGACGTGATCAAATTTATGCCGTTGCCTCATGTTGAGCAGCCAGCCTCTTTCTAGCCTCCTCAATGATAGATAATTTGATACCACGGCCTTTGGGAAGAGAAACCCAAGGTTTTGTACCTTTGCCAATTGTGAAGACATTTCCCATACGAGTAGCGAACTCATGACCAGTTGCATCCTGGACGTGGATGGTCTCAAAGCTTCCCTTATGCTTCTCCCTGTTCTTGATCACACCAACACGACCTCTGTTCCTTCCTCCAGTCACCATGACCACGTTACCCACATCAAACTTGATGAAGTCAGTGATCTTGTTAGTTTCCAAGTCCAGTTTGATGGTGTCATTTGCCCTGATCAACGGATCGGGATAGCGGATGGTGCGCCCGTCATAGGTGTTAAGATAGGGGATGCCCTTCTGCCCAAATTGCACAGATCTAACCTTGCAAAGCTTGAACTAAAAAACCAGAATACAAAGATAAGATCAATTTTGCAAAGTGAATCTACTAAACTAAAATGGAAAGAGACGTTGGAATGATAAACAAAAGAAGCTATAGCAATTGGTAAAAAGACATTGCAGGAGAAATATGAATAATAGCGAAGCATACAACCAAAGAGTCATATCCGAAATACATACTAAACCAACCCAGGTAAGTTTATCCATCCAACCATGCACCTCTTTTTAGCAGAGTCCAAAGCATCAATAGATTTTTCTCCCTTTGACTAAAAAGCATCAGTAATTTCACTTGGCTAAAGCACATATGAAACATTCATAAACCAACCAAATATACAACATTTACATTAATAATCGAAAAAATAAACATTTACATTAAACAGGACAAACCTTTGCTTCTTCATCTCTGATAGATTGGAGACGGAAACGACCTTTGGTGTCATAAAGTAGACGAAAGTTTTCATTGGTCTTGGGGATGGACACAACATCTGGTAAAAATAAGAAGTACAATTATACCACTGTTGAAAATGCAACATTTTAAGTCATGGGTTCATTAAAATCAGTGACTAGAGAGTTGACCCCAATTTGCTCAATATAGAATTGGGTAGACTACACTTTGTTTCTTAAAGAATTCTAAAGCAACCTAAAAGAATCATAAAAGTGGAAATATGGGGAAATACTCAAAGAAAAAATAATTTTTCCATCATAATTTAGACATGATGCGAGGTCATCACGTTTGGAGGCACATACCCATGAAACCAACTGGATATGTCTTGTCTGTCCTAACCTTGCCATCAACCAGAACATGGCGCTGCATCAAGATGGCAATAACTTCCCTATAGGTGAGAGCATACTTCAACCTATTGCGCAGGATAAGGATAAGTGGCAGGCACTCCCTTGACTTGTGAGGTCCAGATGATGGCTTGGGTGCCTGCACAACCATGGCATTAAGTACATAACTTAATTGAATGCCACAAACGAAAACAAGTGAAATGGGGTTGCTGAAACTAGGGCTGCTACTGCTAATCAAGTACATACAAAGGCACCACCGAGCTTGTCAAGCATCCAATGTTTTGGGGCATTGAGCCTCTTTAAGTGTTTCTTCAACCCTCTAGCCTGAAATACGTAAGAATATATGCAAATTAGAATATGAAGGGCAAAGGTGATGATAATCTATGCTCCTAATAACTACTAAGTGAAGTCAAAACAATTAAACATGATGAATCGAACAAATAATCAGAATTCACAGATTAAAATTTCAAGAAACTTGAGCATCTCCCCAAAATAGGAATATCAATGAAAAACATCATCAACTCAAGGGAAAGAGTTAAGGGCAGCATGTCGAGACAGAATTTGAACCCCTGTTTTCAACATTAACTTCAAGGAAGCAACATTTCAATTGTCTATCGCCAAAAAAAAAAAAAAGGAAAATCTTGGTTTTTGAGACTTTCAATTATCCACCGCCCACATTGTCACGAATCGAACATATAATTCTATATGAGCATTGACGGTTTAAATCATTCCAAAAGCAGCGGAAAACAAATACTTGTGAGAATATAGGAACACTAAAATCATGAAACCATCATATCAAATTTGCTTCAGTCAATTTATACGACGTCGGTGTAGCATGAGGAGGAAAGAATGAATACAGACATCTACCACAAAAAAAATAGCAACCAATAAATCATAATATCACAATCTTAGACTAATAGAACAGGAAAGAGAAACACCTTCCTACCAGAAAAATATCCAGCACGGCGACACCCAATAGTTAATGAAATGCCAAAAGCTAGGGCTCATCATAAACTACAATAGATTCCCTTCAAATAAAAACAACAACATGGACCGACAAAAAAGTATCCGAAACTCAGTGAAGAAAATTTCAGCACGACCAACTCTCCAAGGGCATGCAGGAAAATTCGATACATTATGACTGATGGTGATGAGGAAACGATCAAATTGAAGAAACCCGAAACAGATGCAGATTGCAGGGTAAACTCAGCATAGTTTCAGAAACAAATAACAAAAAAAAAAAAACTGAAGGCAAGACTGAAGTTAGACAAAAGAAGGCCGCAGCAAACAAGTTGACGAAGAAAATCTGACCATTGTTGAGGTGCGCCGTCCTCAGATCCGAGGTGAGAGATGCGGCTAGCGGGTAAATTCGCACAGGGTGCAGTTCAGGAGGCTTAAATCGGGTTCTTATCGTGGAATAAATCGGGTATCCAAATCCATGGGCTTTTGGGCCGAAATAGGAGCTTCTTTCGGTCCAATAACTTCAAAGCAATATGTTGTTACTGTATTATTTGACAAATAATCAACATATTAAAAATTAAATCATAATAATTATATAATAAACTAATAATATGATATGATATACATTTCATAAAAAATATTTATATAATTTTTAAAAATCATAATTAAATACCTGAGTTCAATTATTAAAATTTAGTTTTTCAATATCCGGATTCCCAACTTATGTTTTCGTTCAACTTTGTTCCTACATTCTCTCTTCTCATGGCTAAGATGGGATTGCTCAACTAGTGTGGATAACTTTGTTAATCTTGATCAATCACTAAACATCCATTGCTTTTAGTGGAACCCAAAAAATTAGAGTCAACTGCAAATAGAGTTGCTCAAGCAACGATTTAGAATATGTGCTCTTCAGATTGAGATTTAAAGACTGTTTGAAATTATTTTTATTTTATTATTTTAAGAATTGGTATTTTGTAAAACATATTTTGAGAACAAAAAAATAATAAAAATAAGTATTTTTTTCATTCTCCTTTATTCTCTAAAATAATAATCTCAGAATACCTAAAAGTTATTTTCATTTTTCTATTCTCTAGAATAATATTTTATTTTTTTATTTTTTAAAATGCTTTTAAAAACATGTTACCAAACATATCTTTTTATTTTTTTATTTTAAAGAACAACAAACTATCCTAAAAACATGTTATCAAACAAGCCCTTGATACCTCTACCCCCTTCTTTCTTGGATTGAGGGCTTGAAGTATTTGAAATTTTGTTTCTTTATTTCGTTAGTGTTGTTTTATTTCCATTGCTATGTTACCCTTGAGTTTGCTTTGTCTTATGTACGATGCACCTATTATGTTAGACATGTTTAGTTGAGAGAATTTAACAGTGATTCAAACTAATCTACGTACCACTAATACTAATACATTTTTTTGTACTCGTTGAACTAGATGTCAAAATTGTCGGTTAAAAAAAAAAAAAGAAAAGAAAACTAAGTGTCAAAGTTGGACTATTTAGTCATGCACTTCATTCTAAGGAGTGCAATGCGTCCCATAAGGAGTTGTTTTCCACGTCCATGTATTAAAGAACAATTACAAGTCCATACCCAAAAAAAGAAAAAAAAATTACAATTGCTCTATATAAAAATAACAACAACGAGTATCACAAAAGCAAAATGTGAGAAGAAAATAAAAATAAATGAAGGCTGATGCCTGTGAAGTTGAATAAAGCTTCCATTCCAGTAACCTTAATCACGAACAAGAGAGTTTATTAGAATGGTAGCCTCGTCTGCCGTCGGGACCGCATCATCTGACATACACATACCACTATACATCAAATTCTTAAAATCTCAAAATCACGCTACTCTAGATTTAACTTATAATTATAAGCAACCGATACAGAATCTCGCTCTGTTCTTTCTACGTTTACTTTTATAATAATTGAATAAATAAGAAACCTGGGATTGAAGAAGGCAGGTGGGAGATGATGTTTTCAATGACGCCGCCATTAGCCTCCTCCGCTGTTTTCACTTGCTTATTCTTCTCTTCATCGCCTTCCATTTTCTCGCCTTGTTCATCATCACTTTGATGAAACAAATTGGAAATTATATTATTCAAGATCCCTCCTCCTCCTCCTCCTCCTTCTCTGATATCATCATGTCCTTCATCTTCCTTCTTCGGAATCTCGTTTCCGAGCTCGTCCTGTGTGTCAGCTTTCCCTGTTCTTGTCAGCCCCAAAGGAGTGGCCATGGTGGAGATCAAGTTCGTAATAAGGCCACCACCGCCTTTCCCTTCTTCTTCTTCTTCTTCTTCTTCTTGTTCTTCATCTCTCTGCTCTCGAGCTCTTTGGTCAGAGGGAAACCCAGATTTCGTTTCGTTTTCAGCTTCGACTCCTCCTGGACGTCCTTCTTCTGCCGTGAGATTCAATGGAGGAAGCATTCCTTCGCCTTCCGTTACAACGTCTTCCATCTTGATGGAGTCTTCTTGAAAAGTTCGATGTTTCCGAGTGTTCTCAAAATGAGAGAAAACGGAAAGGGAAGGCCGTTAGCAGAGGTGATTTAGGATTTATGCAGAACACGCCTGAGAAGAGAAGGGGTATGAGAGTCTTTCAAGCCAAATGTTAATTCAATTCACACATTTGTTTTTCTTTTGGCCGAAAATTCACATATAAGGTATGTAATTTAATTTTTATAATTTTACAATGAGTAGACTATTTTTTCAAATATGTGAGATTTTCTAATAATAAAGATGAGTTATGTTATTTTCATCACAATTTAGGAAAATTAGGTGAAATTTATTTATTGAGAATGAAATTCGATCATGTTAAAAAAAAAAAAAGAAAGATGTACACTTTTCTAACCGCAATATAAAAAAAAAATTTAAGAACTTTACTTAGTCAAAATATAAGGCGTCATATAGATATTATATATTTTTTAATTACACATTTACTTTATTGAAAAATTAGTGAGAATATTTTTGAATTAGTCAAATATTATAGTTATTACATATATGAGCACAACTAAAAAATATGCAATTGTTTTAAAAAATAAAGATTTTAACCAATTCATTGTAATAAATTAGTTAACAATAATTTGTGAGATAATTGGCCCACTAGTCAGAATATAATTGCTACCCAAAAAATAGGAACCAACTTTTTAAAAATTCAAAAATATAATCAGTTCACATATTAATATATGTTCATATATATCATTGATATACATCAGTATATCATTGATAAATATTATTAATAATAAATTCTTTTTTCATAAGTATAACAATGCATCAATGATAAATATTGTATTGATTATGACATGAAATATAAAAAATTTTATGCTATTATTTTAATTTAGTTCTATAACACAGGTTATATCTATAAAAAGCTTTATAACTTATATTGTGATTAAAAAAATAATATTTAAATAATAATTTGTTTTAAATTTATTATTTCATATCAGGATCTTGCTTAATATTTAAGCTCTTCAGTCCTATTGATCATTTAAATCATATTTATAAATTATAAACTATATCATTAAATTAAACTTTTATTACAGGTTTCCATTTATTTCATTCAAAACTATTGAGATCATAAAAAAAAATATTATTAATATATACAAAAATTTATTAAACTTTTAGATAAAATTAAGCAAGATCATGCTGCGTGCGGCGTGGGGCATCACAGCGAATTGCAGCATAGAGTCGGTGGGATAAAGATGCCCCTCGGATTTCGTAGCCACCCCGCTCTCTTTTCCTCATTTAATAATTTTAAACTTCCTCAATCCAACCATAAGTTGATGGTCTCGAACCTGAATCCCAAATCCATCACTATCTTGAATTCTTCGCGTGTTCATCAACCTCTGTTTTAGATTTCCATCTCCCTGGAGCGTCTTCTTTTTCTAAGCAACGCTTATAAGCTGTTTGTGAAATTGTCCGAGCGATAGGGATAATTAAGTACTCAACCAACGTAATGATGACAACTCCATCGTTAACTTCTGCAACCATCATATACTATATTCATGTCTCTGCATTCTTAGGTTTCTTTAACAGTCTGATATCTGGCTTCAAATGATAATTTCTCTCGGTCATACCTCCTTAGACCATCTCAATCTGGGTGTGGAAGGAAACACCCACTCAAGGTAAATCCAAATTTCATTACATGCCAGTTAAAAGTGATGAACACAACATACATTACAACGATAAAATGTTCAAAGGCTTTGGGATAATTTGGATCCATGTTTCGGTTTTAAAGTGTCCATACTTGGCTATTATAACTTCAATCCGGATTATATTACAGAAAACACATAAATCTAAGCTTAATTATATGTTGTTTGTATTGATGAAGGGAATTTGTGATTCTCTGTTTGGTGGTCCTTAAAAAAGGTGGCAGGCTGGAGGGACGAAGGGGCCTTTATAAGCCTTGCAAACATAGGTCACAAAACTCTCATAGTCCTGCATCCTCATTCACCAAAACCAACAACAAAACGAATCTTCATGAGTCTCTCTGCAAGAATCTAGGGATCTCATATCTCTGATAAACGAGTTCCTTAGAACGAACCTTCTCAAGAGGCTTATCATCGACGAGCACCCATGGTAGAACTGTAAAGGGTGGAGAAAGCCTTGCAACTTGGCTCACATAATCTCTTCCAAGCTGCACATACACATACACAGATATGCTCGTAATTGGCCTAAGACATGCTAGTAATTACAAGAGAGAGGAATTTAAAGGACCTGGGTTCCATTGCCAGCATTGAAGCAGTCAAGAAAAGGCTGCTTAGGCAAACCTAATTGGTTGAAACAGCTTTGCCACTTCTTGTGTCTGCCTTCCAGTGCCAACAACTCAAAGCAGAATATCAATGCATAGTGTTTGTTCTGCAATATCATCATTATCATCTTAATATTTATTTCATGCTATAATTAAGCATGGATCTCAAGTGTATACATAACATGTAGGGATTTTGTGTTCCCATTCACAAGAAGTAACAAGGAGGATAATCTTAATCTTAGACTTACCACATCATGGGAAACATTCAGGACACAGGCTTCCAGAGAATTTAGCTGACATTCATCAGGACCATTCTGCCATGTTTTCTTAAAGTAGGTTAATCATGATGAAGGCCACATTAATAATAATCATTACAGTCCCGTCCATTGCAAGTTACTATTAATAAGAAATGTTTTATGGAGCATAGTAACTCAAGAAATTACTCTATTTTAGTTTCATAAATGCTTGGAAATTAAACAGGGATGAAACAGTGCTCAACCGTAATATCTTTTATATGATGTGTAGAATGTTTATAATCTACTTTAAAAATTTATATATTGTTTTAAAAGTGAACTGATTAGTAAATTGAGATGAGAAGGTTGGATAAAGTAAATCAGTAAAAAATGGGACTATAGTGCCAAAACTCTTGATTTGCTCTCTGCATGGTTCATCAAGTGGGTTACTTTGGGCTGGAAATTTATCATGTCTAATAATGGGTTTGATGACATTTTTTCAAAAGTTCATTCACCACAATATTGTTTACTAACAGAAACAAAAAATACACTGTTTAATCCCTTTAACCCAATTAATTTAAATGGGAAGGAAAATTGTAAGGAAATCCCATCTAAAGCAAGATGATTTTTTACGTTTAAGGATAAAAATAACAATGAAACTGTTTAATAGTAAGTAAATCCCAATCAGGAAAAAATGAAGCTTTAAAACTTAAAAACTTAAAAAAATTTGGTAGAAAAAACTATATTTTCTAAATTTATAACTCGATTTTCTCAATATTATAAAGTTATTTTTTAATAAAAAAAATTAATTAAAAAAAAAACTCCCTCACATTGTTGAGTAATTTTAACTTTTAACGGGTATGAATGCTGATTTTGCAAAGAACTGACAGTAATTTGATCAGCAGATTGAATATCAGCAGAAAGCAATAAACTTTTACCCTCTTTTACCCGTACACTTCAAAAGAAATTCGTTGAAGAGATATAGAGATGGAAAATTGGGTTCAGAACAGCAAAAAAGGTTTTTATAGAGAGATTATATAATATAGAGATAGAAAAGAACCTGGCATAAGATGGTATTGTTGATGTTGCTGATGGAAGCATTGGCCCAAGGAACAAGTTGGAGATTCACAATGTTGATGAGATCTTTGTTGAAGATTTCCACAAGGTTCTTGATGATGAATGTTGCACAAGGCTCACTTAAGCTTTCAAAGTACACTGATAGATTCACTCTCTGATCTGGAGAAGAAAACTCTACAATTTCATCTCCTTCAACATGTGAAGAAGAAGATGAAGAGGAGCATTTAGATGCAAGCACGAAGAAGAGAAGCAAAATTGACATTATAATGATGAGTGATGGTTTAGGAGAAAACATCGTTGAGTTTGCAGAACTTTGAAGACTCTTTAGTTTTTATGTCAGAAGTGATTGTTTTTAAGATGTCATGTCAATGAATATATAGTATGGAAAACTCTCCAGGTATATGCCACTCTTAGAAAAAATAATGGAAAATAGAAGAGTATTTAATTTAATGTTAACCAATAGAGAAAATTTTAGGTACATTAATCAATGCACCTTTATTATTTAATATATATGTATGTATGTATAAATTTTACTTTTAGGTGAATAATGCCTTTAACAAGTCTCATTGTAACATTTTGTATAAATGCTTATAACTGGGGGTTTTGAGGGGCATCTCGAGGGGAAGGAAAATACAGTTGAGTATACTCTTATCAAAATTGAACTTTGTATCAATGCTTATGATTGTGGGTTTTGAGGAGCATCTCGAAGGAGAGGAGAATACAGTTGAGTATACTCTTGTCAAAACTGAACTTTAATACTACTTAATACTTATTAGACCCAAGAAGCATCTCAAAAGGGAAAATAACACAACTAGACCATCCAGTGATTATAAAAAAACAATACAAATGAGTATGACACCTTATCTTAACATAAAACATTGAGACATTGAGATTATTATTTTTAGATGTTCATTTGCATCATTCATTGAGTACTACATTCACAAACAAGTAAGCAAGTGTTGAAAAATATTTTGTGATGGCATTACTTTCCTGAGTTACATGGGACAAACAGCTATTGGTGAATGGAGGCTGAGTTTTTTTTTTTTTAAAATCATTTTTATGTATTTTTAAATGGATTTCACCAATTTTTAAGTTTAGCTAATGAGTTTTCATGTAAACCAGTGATTATTTGGAATGAATACGCAAAAGTCATATTAGTCATCGACTTAAAGGGCCTACCCTACAAGTTGGTGTGTACGCCAGAAAGCTTCTGTTGTTGTATGGTTTTTAAGTACATATCAACATCAACATTCTCCATCATATGCCATTTTCATAGTATGATCAATCTCCATATTTATTATACCTAAATTAACTTCTTTCTCTTTTTTGAATTTCAAACCTTTTTATACAAATCTGTTTATCTTTCTATTCACAAGACGACTCATCTTTCTTTAGAATGTGAAATTTCCTTTCCCATTTTTTTTTCTTTTTTGAGCACATCATGCATTAAACATGTATTTTGTTTGCACAAATTAACCTGAAGTTCTCAAAAAGTTATAAAAGGACTTATGAAAATGCATAAAAAAATAAAAATTTACACCAAGCGTATCTTATGTTTTCCAATAACCATTGACTACGTGACTGTGACATTGTGGAGTTTGAATGATTAGTGTTTTAAAAGCTTATTACTGATACATAAACTAGATATTAGTTTGAGCCAATAGCGGTTGGGTTCTTAAGTTTAAATTTTATAAATAAAAAAATCGTGTTAAAAGAGCTGTTTCTAATTAGAGTTTACTTGTCTTTAAATTTGAATTAATTGGCAGTAAAGATTAGACGATAGTTTCCACGTGAAAAATTTCCTTTCTAAATTACCCTCCACACCAAAACAAAAGTTGGTAAATATAAATAAAGCTCTTTACAGCATATTTGAAATCATACTTTGTCATTTCCATAACTCAATTGGTAAGAAAGTGACTATATTAGTATTTATGTTAAATTTCTTTTAATTCAAATAGAAACAAAATAAAGAGAGAGCAAGGAAAGGATAATTATGAGGATTCATTGTGCCAGCACATTATCATTTGTCTGATATGCTTGCATGTTAAATAACTTAATTTAATTACATGAAAAATATTTTCCACCTACTCAGTTGAAGCCATCCATAATATTAATCAAGGTACAAGCTTATCAAGTTTTCAATAACACAAGTTTACTAATTAAAAGGCAAAAAATATAATAGAGACTTTATTCTTAATAAACTGAATTGTATTGGAATTCGATAAGATCATGGAAGAACTTATGGATCTCGACTTTCAAATATATTGAATTTCAACATCCATAGTTTGTCATGAACACATGTGTTGTTGATGCATACTAATGTACATGTACTTACGAAATAGTTCCTCTATATTGCAATATAATATCTTTTAAAAACCATATTTCATCCAAAATATATGATACTTGATAACTTTTATAATTTTTCAATTATATTCCAATTTTATTTATTACTTTTTTTTTCAAAAACCGATGCATTGGAATTATTAAGACATTTATATAGAATATTTAATGAGAGTATAATTAAAAATATTTAAAAAAATTTAAAAAATTAAAGTTTCAACTAATTTTTTTTAATACTATGAAATAGCTATAAGATTGAGATTTGGAGGGAATAGCTTTTATGCAATAAATTATTCGTTTTATACCATTTTATCTTAAATACTTATAAGAAAAATTTATTTACTTAACCTTATATACTTGTATTGCTTATTTTCAATTAAATTAAGACATATGTATCTCTTATAAATTATTACTTCTATAACAAGCTTTTCTTATTAATATTATTAATACATTAAAATTTATCTATTTTAATTTGATTAGATAAAAGTACATTAAGTATATAAAATTAACATCAAAGTCTTCAAGCCAAAAAAAAAAAAAATTTGAAAGCCTTGCCCTCCAAGGAGAATACTTATATATTTAATTTCATATACTTAGTGTTTATTTTCCATTAAAACAAGATATATATATATATATATATATCTTATAAAATATTTATTTTATAACAAACTCTTGTTATTAATATTATTAACATATTAAAATTCATTTATCTTAATTTGATTAGATAAAAGTACATTAAGTATATAAAATTAAATACCAAAGTCTTGCCCTCTAAAGGGAAATCTTTTATGCTTAACTTTATATACTTGTAATGCTTATTTTCAATTAATTCAAGACATGTATTTCTTATAAATTATTTATTTTATGACAAAGTTTTCTTATTGATATTATTAACACATTAAAATTTATTTGATTAGATAAAAATACATTAAATATATAAAACTAAATATCAAAGTCTTGCTCTTAATCTAATAATCTTGATTATATATTCTAAATACAAATAAAACTCAGGAAAATAAACCAAGTCTAGCAGCATTGAAATCGTAAATCATGAAATGATAAAAAAAAATTATAAAAAATATTTGACTTTTATAGAATTTAATTACTTTTCTAAAATCCAATAGTTCTCTTCTAAAAACCTCCAACCAAATAAACCCTTAAAGATGCTTTAAACTAAATATCATAAATTAAAATCTCAGTCCTAATTTTCACTCAACATACTCGTTTTCTGCAAAGTTGATATGCCAATCAATCATTCTCAACATTCATTCAAATCGGCACACCCATTTTTACAAGCAAAAGCAACCAACTAACGCGCCATCACCAGATTGCCATTCCTTCATAATAAATCAAGACATCCAAAACTCATCATCAACAACAACAACATCAATCAAATTCTTAGAAATATTGTTAACAGCTCAACATTAAATAAATAAACATTTCAAGATTCGTAGATGCATTAGCTGATATTAATGTTACAAATATCATCCCAAAGAAGCATGTCTGACAGTTACTATGAATCTACAATTTTCCAGATTTCATTACATACATCAAGGGCAGTCATCTTTGAGGGGTCAAATTCAAACTTCTCTACTGCGTTTTTATCCTTTTCCACGATATCTGAATACAAGATTTAAGAAATTCGAAGTTTTTCTTTTATGTTTGGAGAGATAATATCATCTATAAGAAAAAACCTGAAATGTAAGGAAAATCATGGATAAAAATGAAAGTAATAGAGCCAACAGAAGGATACAGCCTGAAATTTTGGATTGGTCCTCCAAATTTGGGATAATATTCGTGACAGAAGCATACATTGAAAGCGTCATCCTGGAACAGAACAGTAAGAATAGATTAAATCCTAGTGCGTACAAAATCCATCAGGCCTTACAAGTGCATCCAGATAACTAGGTCAAGGTCCAAACAAAAAGATCCCAAAATAACATAGTTCTCACACACAAGCAATGACTTGTGACACCAAAAATATGACATGCAAATATACACACTCGTCATCCTTTTCCTCTTCACAAAGGAGAAGCCAAAAAGAAATAAATGAATGCTTAAAATAAGTTCAAATTAGTAATATGAGAGATAAACTGTCTGATTCAAGACGCAAAAGTTTCTGAATTAGCTCTAATTTCTAAAACCTTCGTCTTCTGTAGTCTTTGTAAAGAAAGATGAGCGTTCTTAGGGGAGGATGAGTCTAATCTGCTTCGACACTGGCATTTTCAGGACTAGGCATATTCTGGTTCACCAAAACTAATCAAATTGAGACCAGTGGTAATGCTAAGTCTGTCTCAATATTTTACTGTGGAATAAGCAAGCGTTCAAGGTGCACTTTTCTAAATAATTTTTTTTTCATAACGATACCCTAAAAAAATGCAATGATGCATTCAAGTATTATATTGAGTGAGATTGCCATCTATACTAAGCTCTCCAACTTTATATAAATATATTACCAAACATAAGGGAGCCACATACTAGAAAAATGTAAAACTAAAAAATTGTGACAACTTTCTCCTAAATATTGACTGATACCAATATTCTAATTAAGGAAGCATGTTTGCATGATCGCTCTCTGATATGTTCAGGTTGTGTAATGCACTTACTGTGCCCTTAGCTCATCTTGTTCAAGTTTTTGTAAATTTTTCTTTCGCCCTAGGATTGAAATCCTTTGCTGTTCAAGATCATTGAATTCAATGCTGCATGACGTGATGACACAAACGAGCAGGTTAGAAATGTCATGCCAGGAAATTAACAATAAAAAGATAGCATCCCATTGAAAAGTTGTAAGCAAAAGGCTTATCTAAGCTCCTCCCCAAGCATGCGTTCTTTTTCAAGTTCCTCCTCTAATTCTCTTTGTAGGAGATCCAGTTCTGCATCTGCAACAACCTCAGATCTAGCTTGCTCTGTTTTGTGCTTGCATTCATCTATTTTTTTCCGGTAATCTGATTCATATATGATATAAGAACAAGTCAGTTGCATGACATATAATCAAGATCTACTCGTGGGACATAACATAAAAGGTGAATTATTGAAAATAGTTGAAATCCTTCCAAACAAGTAAAATTTGAAGTGAAGTGGTTGTAGAAGATAATATGTGGCATGCCACGCCCGATTCCATTAGAGCCACAAGCTCACTCTATCAAATCCAAAACTATGTTTTTATCATCCAATCACTATTTAGGTGTCTTATAAGATAGCTGTGTCACTGAAACAGGTGATAAGAGAACCCAGACAGAAAGAGATGGAATGCAATCGCCTAGCTTCAGCAGTCGGAGGAGGAGGAAAAGATGAGGGCAGTTTGTCCGGAATTAGAAACTTTCAGAATACTCCATTCATATTGCACTCTTTTTAATGAGATAGTATACACTTCTTTTTTTATGTCCAGGAAAGCTTGGGAAATTGTAACAATGGATATAAAGATCACTTCTCATGATATGAATACATCCCTACAGTCACTAGGATACAATCAAAGAAAATTCAAGTACCATCTTCCAACTTCGAAGCACTTGGTCTGCTTGTCAATTCCATAAGAATTGTACTTTCTTTTCTGGGTTTCATTCTTGGTATGGAGGGCTTGGGAAATGAAGGATATGAAATCAGATCTCATCAAGCAGAAACTAAGATGGCCAACTTAGATCCTCTAAAACACTCCATGGGGTGAAGTACAGAGAGATAAGAAGAAAGTACTGGGTCTCACATTTGTGGGGTTCACAAATGCGTAGGTAAAACCCATCATTCTCTTCCTATCTCACTCTACTTCATCAAGGTGAAATATTTTAGAGAAAGATCGCAAAAGTTATTGAATTCATTGGCAGTCATCAAGCCGAAATTGTGGCCAGGACACAACACTCACACCAAAATTAGCAATGAGATTGAAATGGATTGATCAACACAGAGACAAAGAAAGGCCAGCAACAAGCCTGTACACAAAGATCCCACTGACAACCTCTCCCCCTTAATGTTAACGAATCTTTTACATTTTTACATTCTTAATGATTAAGAATCTTGTGCAAGTTTTATAAATGTTGACAAAGGGTCTCAGCTGATGATGGAGAAGAAAACCTTCATCACTACTTCAAGCATTTCAAAATATGAAAAGTACTAAATGAATTGATCTAGTCAAGAGCATAGGCCCAGTTGTCACAAACATAAACACCAACCCCAAGCCCAAAATTCATTGATGTCTCAACATGCCCCTCTGACGATTAATTTTAACAACCTCACATGAATAATGCATTGGCCACAATAGAAAACTTAGATGGTTCTTGTTCCTGAAAAGACGCCCTTCTGCAACATAAAATTTACTAGCGAAATCAGTGAGGAAATGAGCTGAAGCATACACCCGCCGCTTTTTTTTTTTTTTTTTTGTGGCCACCAACATACGCTTGAGTCAAAGCAAACCAAGGAAGGGGCAACATTTGCAATGTGCATAAGATTGTGTCTCTGTTAACCACGGTCTAATTATATACATGCCATAACAATATAGCGAACAACGATGGAAAACTTTGGTTTTAACTTTTATGTACTACAATAAGCAAAATCTTAAAAAAAGAAAAAAATAGAAATTTAACATTATATGTTTTACTTCAACGTTCTGACTACTTTTGTTCGGAGAAATCAATAGCTTTCCCGAACTGGTTATACAAGAGAAGTTTCGGGCAGTTTCAAAAAAAAAAAAAAACATAAATAGAGACCCAAAACTCCGTTCTTAATAAGGGTTTAATTCAGCTACAAGAGATGGAGTTAGGAGCAGAGAAAGAGTAAGAAATGACCTTCAAGCAATGATCGAACCTCGTTGAAGTCAGCGTTGCAGGAGGAAGAAAGGGAGTTTGACTGTTCTAGACACTGGGTCAAGCAGTTGATGTCCCGTTTGTCTTCAATACCTTAACGAGGTCGTCGCTGTAGGAAATCAGCTTGTCTAAGTCAATTTTCCCTGACGAATCATCCATTGCCTCAGAAAATTGTTGGTTTGCCCTTCAAGCCCTAGGTTTTGGTAACAGAACCCTTCGAAACAATGGCCGTCAAATTCCTTGCCGATGTCAGACTGGGTCGCCACAGAAGGAATGACTACCGCCGGCGTATACGTACCCTCCCGCCGACTCGTATCTGAGTAGGGAGTGCGGCTTCGTCTCCTTCCAGCACGGCAGCCGGAGCTGGAGATGTGGGAGTTGGGTATTTTTTTTTTTTTTGGAAAAAAAAAAATACAAACTAATTTAGTTTCTCGTTGGCGGGAGCGTCAAGGACGATTTGAGTTAAAGTCGAGACTGGAAGTTGATGGATCTGGTTAAACGATGTCGTATTACCTGTTGTGTTTCTGAGAAGTGGGAACTGCTAAGAAATTACATTAAAAAAATCTAAAAACTATCATTACTCTTGAAAAAATAAGAATTAATACAAATAAAAATTTTATCAGAACTAAAACTAAATTTCAAAAATTATCAGTTGTTGACAATTTTTAATATTTCATTTTCATATGGGAGATTCTTAAAGTGTAAAAACTTTTATTCTTTCTTTTTGACCTGATCAAAATATGATATCAACATTTGCCAGGTTAGCAACCATATCTATTTTTATCAAGTCTTTCGGGCAATACAAGTGATATTTTTTATGATTGATTGTATCACAATATTATTAACATTTCATTCGTTCGGCTGGTTTGTAACAACAAAAATGAAGCAATTCTTTATAAATTGATAAAATCATTTATATATATTTTCAAAGACTAATGACATTAAAAGAACATAATTGAATGGGATTGGCATTAATTTTTATATCTAGTAGTTCTTTTAAATTAAAAAGATTTCACAATTTAATAAAATGAAATGAAATAATATTCTAATAATTTTCCATGGAACAGGAATAATAGAATATTTTTAAATAAAATCAAATAATAAATCTTTACAAATTAATTCAATACTATACACATAATCCAAACAAAAGAAGGAAAGAAAAATGGTCAGTAAGCTTTAGGGCCTATTTAGAAACCTATTTTGGGAATAGTTTTCTGTTCTCCAGAATAAAAAAATAAAAAATTTATTTAATAATGTGTTTTCAAAAAGTGTTTTAGAGAAAAAAAAATAAAATATTGTTTTGGAGAACAAAAAAATAAAAATAACTTTTAAGTATTTTGTGATTATTGTTTTGGAGAATAAGAGAAAATAAAAAAATAATTATTTTTATTATTTGTTTGTTCTCAAAACATGTTTTATAAAATACCAATTCTCAAAACAACAAAATAAAAATAGTTTTAACAGTACCTTAATTACCCTCAGTCAAAATTCTCAGTAGCTGTGTTCCTTTCCATTTCAAAACCATGTCATTGCCATTGTTGCCTTCAATCTTAGCCTAGTAGCATTCTTCACTTCCTCTTAACATTTCTGCAACTTCCTTCAATATCTCTTCCCTGAAACTTCGACCCTCTAACCTCATTTCTCATTGAAGCTTAATCCAATCTTCTCTCATCTCCTTCCATCTCTGAAACCATCCCTCACAGGACACATATGGTGCCACGGGCAGACTCTCCATTGCTGTTCTTGCCTCTGAGAATTCACTTGGCAAACCTGATTCTATTGATTCTAACAAAGCATGGTAGTGCATTAAACTCCCATTAAAGAATGATCTGAAGTTCTTGCAGCTTCTGAGTTTTTCACAGGCTTCTCCATCACCAAAAGCAATGATTCCCTTGTTGAAAGATGAGCTTTTTTCGATGAACTCCTTTGCCACCCTCAGAAATTCTAAGACGTGTCTTCTACTTCTGGTCCTACCCATATGTTGAAGACCCACCATGCAATTGAAGGCCAAGAAATTTCTCTTTCCATTTCCATTTCCACCCTTTTTGTTCAATATCTTGAGCTCCGTCACCAATTCCTCAATACTCTGTTCCTCCACCTTCAACTTCAACCCACATGATTTGGCATGCTGGTAGAGGTTCCTTCTGATTTCTTCAAATTTCCACTGGGTCGAAACAAAATGGGCATCTAGGCTGTCCTCTTCTTCCCATCTGATTGACGTTAATTTCAATGTTTTATGTTGACGAGCAATAATCTCCATCAATGGAGGCCATTGAACCCCTTCTCCCATATCAAAGTCTACTATGTCTATGAGTTCCGAATCCTCTGTAATAGATCCTAGAATTGCTGAATTGGCTGCAAAATGAGCAATTCTGCCATGTGGGATGCCTTGGTAGATAGCCATGATAGCGTTGTGGAAGCTCTTGCACGCTTCCTGTTTGATGAAAGCCCCTTGTTCTGAAGTATCATGATTTTGGGACAATTTGAATGAGAGACGTTCAAGAGGATCGCCAAGAGGGCTTGCTTTGTGGTTGATGCATCTCAGAATCACTTGGGCAAGTGTGTTCTGTCCTTGCTCTAAGGCTTCTCCAACGGCTTCCAGAAGATGAGGAAGACTTATCTGGTTCTCCATCTCCATGTCTTCTTCTGTATGATCAGTGAGGGTTGTGCTTGCACCACCATGGATATATCTGATAGTGTGTTTTCTTCCTCAGAACACGAGTCCTGTGATGGAAAGCTTGCCTCACCTTCTTGTGGGTATCCATGAATATCCAAACTCTGAGAAGTCAAAGTGGGTCAAAAGCATCGACATCCATAGAGAAATCTTCCATCAACGATGGTAACTGAAGGTTGTCTTCATCAATCGGGCAATAGACATGATCGTTGGAGAAGACTGGGGGGGGGGGAGCTCAGAAGAAGTATCCTCTGAGGTAGGGAACAAAAGAGCGTTAACAACATTGAAGTCATGAGACTCAACTTGATCAAAAGTCGAGCTTATTATACCTTCAATGTATGACCATGAGGGCTAAGAATCTCAGGCTCCGTCTTCCTTCTCTGCTGGCTTCTGCATGGTAAAGAAATAGATGCTCTTGTATTATGAATTGAAATGGTGAGTGACCCTCTCAATGTGTGGAAACAGATCAGTCCAAAATAGCTGTTAAACTAATGATAAATATCGTAAATTTGTTCGGCTTACATATTGTGCATTTATTTATGATCTGTGGTTAAATGAATCAGTTACTTTTAAAAATAAATAAATAAATAAATAAATTTCTAATTGTGATATGTTGATGAAGAGATAAAAACGAACGGAGCTTCACCGACTTGCATTTCCAAGGACTTTTTTTCCTCGATAATTGCCATGACAAGACCTACCCGATGTTATACTATTTAGACAGTAGAAATTGTATGTAATCAAGAAAAATTAGTTTAATAATTTACTGTGTCCTTTTCGATTGCAACATAATTGAAACTGTGAACATAATTAATTCTGCAGTCTGTACGTATAGAAGCTTCACGGAAATAGCAGATTAGGATTGAAGGAAAGCCACGTTCATGCGCGGTGGAGCACACTATAGCGCATGACATGCCTCCACGTGAGAAAATGGTCTCGTGAATTAAATTACAACCTTAGCACGGGAGGCTTAGCTTAATTGATAAAAAGATTTGTATCAGTTTAACAGAATATCTCAAGTTCAGAGTTTTATAATATTGGTGATAGAGTTTGTATCCGGAAAGATCATGTTCTATCTCAATTCAAGGACAACGATTTCACAACAAATCCAATTATGATTATATATAAATCATATGGAGATAAGCTTATCTATGTTTAGTGGCCAATGAAAAAGTAGATAGATCTGAAACGTAAACTTGATGTTTGAACGATGATTGGATGATCAGGAAAAACTTTTTAAGGAATGAATATCTCTTTGGCCTGAAATTTAAGGAATGAATTGGAGTCATAGCATCGTAGTTCCGCGGAATATATTGAGTATCAGGTTGCCACATTAATTAAATCAATCGCAGGACAGCTTTTTCGTACATTTCTTGCTCTGTCCTTAATTGCTATGGGATCTCCGACCTGCACCCTCCATACTTAATATTTTAAGATGATTTTCACATCACAAATTTATCAAAAAAGATGTATAATTCATCGCCACTTATGTTTCTTTTCTTTTCCCTTATCATTTAATTAGATAGTATATTATTATAAAATTGAACATTATTACACCCCGACCACCAATGAGTGATTAATATTGAATACTAATAATGAATATGGGTAGATATATTTTCTTGTCACCCGCGGATCTTCAAATTGATATATAATCTTATTTTTTATATTTTAATTAAAATTTTCATAATTAAATATAATTCTTTATCGTCATTTGAAAATTTATGAATGTAAACCAAAAATTATATGTAATAAACACTTAAATTTATAGGACATTTTTAGACAAAATTAAACCTACTAATAAAGTTAATTAAATACACTTTATAGCTTTATTTTTTAAAATAAAAATATAAGCTTTCAAAAATATTATTCCTTTAATACTTTATTTATGAAAGAGTATTGAAAAGAGAATATAATAAGAAAGGTAATATTGAAAAAGTATTATGTTTGAGTTACTATCTAACACTAAATATAGATACTTCTTCTAGCAAAAATTTAAACCTTAATTTATCATATCATGAGGGACAAGCTTTTCACTAATAAACTCAACCCTTGTTAATAATGGAGATAGTTTTTTTTTTATACAACATCAAGGTATCCACCGTTGATAACTTTGACTAATTCCCTCATTATGGGGTCTCCCACAAAGGAGTGAACGACTAGCCATGGAGTGCTCTTCATTTTTATGAGAAAGAAATTGAACCCCTCACCACATGCGCAAGGGATAAAGTAAGATCATGGTATTGAAACTCGGACCGGATCGGCCGGGTCAACTCGGAAACCGGTGACCCGATCCCTTATTCGGTCTGGGTTTACTCCTAAACCGGTGAGGGAATGAACCGGTGTAATCTGGTTAACTCGGTGGGTTGACTGGGTCAACTGATTTTTTTTTGAGATTTTTTTTTCATTTTTAATTTTTCAGAGTGCTGAGTTCAGAAATAAGATAAAAAAAAAGTGAAACTAAAGTCAAAAAATTAGAAGTTAGAGGTAGAGCACGTTAAGTTTAATCCAGATTTTCAAATAGCATTTAGTTCAGCCTTTTATCTGTATCTCTCCTCTCTCGCCCTAATCTAATCAGCATCTCTTCTCTAGCTTAGTCTTCGTCTCTTCTCCAGGCTCCAGCTCTATCTCCATCTCTTCTTCAACTCTATCTCTGTCTCTGCTATCTCCATCTCTTCTCTAATTTAGTCTCTGAATCTCCGTCTCTTTTCTAACTCAATCTCCGTCTCTTCTCCAGTTCTATCTCCATCTCTTCTCTAGACTTTTGAGATTGAAGAGTTGTAATTGTAATGATAGATATTTAAAGTGTTGTATTTTATTATTATTAGACTTTTGAGTGGTTAAATTTGGTTGAATGTTTTTATAATTAATGTCTTTTTATTTAAATTGTATTATTTTAATCATGACCGGTTTGCCACCAGTTTAACCCCCAGTTCAACCCTAATTGAACCACTAACCCGTGATCTAGTGCCATGACCAGTTCAACGACCGGTCCGGTTTTACGTACCTTGAATAAGATAGCCATTATGTCATACCCACATGGTGTAATCAAGATAGTTTAATAGACAATGAAATGTTATGGGATTGGACCTATTTGTTTGAATATTCCTAACTTTTCAGGCCTAAAAAAAGAAAAGGACCAAAAATAGCCCGAGATGAACTGAACTCATAATGGGCCTAACCCAAACACAAAGAGGGTAACGTGAGATCGCTCCCTCGTGCCACGTTAGATTGATATGTAGAAAGAAATAGTAACTCCTTTCTTTTTCTTGTTTTTTTTTTTTTTGGGGGGGGGGGATGAAGACTGATCAATAATCACAACATGATTACAAGCTAAGCAAGTCTCTTGCTTACATTTTTTAAGAAAGTATTTATCATATTTCGCCTTCATCATGTAGGAATAGTTTCACTTTACATACACTTAGAAATATTTCGCCATCCTCCTTTCTTTATCTTAATTCTTAATTCTCAATTCTTCATTAGTTCCATTTCATTTTACATACAAAGTTATGATTGGCACCAAAAAATAATTATTTTAGATGCTGCAAGACCAAGTAATATCGTGTACTACTTTCAAACTCATACAAGTCACGGAACCATAAATTTATATATTACGTGGGATCCGGCAATGAGCAACGTAGTCTTATGCTTCTAGAATGGTCATTGTCGGTGGTGTGTGGGTAACAGGACTGAAACTTCTTGTTTGGTTTCTTGGAAAGTATGAAAAAAGGAGTGTGGAATATAATGGGGCGGGAAACTAAGTGAGGGATCGGAAACGAAAATATGTACAGGATCCATGAGTTCTAGATGAATTTAAAGTCAACAAAAGTAAGAAAAGTGCACAAATACATGTATAGTTAGTCAATCCCAACAAACACACCACTTAGACTCCAACGTTAAAATTTAGAACACGCGCAAACCATAATAAAAGTCATTGACAACTCCTTTATGTATCCCGGTTTGTGTATAGATACGTTGTTTTCAACATTATAAGACTTCTTTTTTCTTTTTTTTAACATCCCTCAATTTTAAATTATAAAATATTTTTAAATAAAATTTTACCTACTAATAAATCTTATTAAATATATTTAATAACCTTATTTTTACAAAATAAAAATATAAACTTTTAAAAATATCTATCATTTAATATATTAAAAAAAGAAAATATAAAAATTAATTATAGAAAGATAAAATGTAAAATTAAAATCAATACATTTAATTAAACTTTAATATACCCAAAGTATCTTATATTTTGAAATGAAGAAACTCCTTTAAAAGTGTGGTATAATTTGGGACAGAGAGAATATTATGTTAAAAATATAAGGTATTTTGAGTATTTTAAAATGTCATTAATGTGGTTTTTCCAAAAAAAAATCTTAATTAGATGTGTAGTTAATAAAGTTTTTAATTGATAAACAACAATTAATTAAATAAGAGTAAATAGGAAAAGAATGCATAATTTTAAATGTTATTGACTAATTTATTGAAAAATATGAATTAGTTAAAAAAATGTCCTATAGTAATACTGAAGGGATGGATATATATGCATTGAATTAATCTTGGTCGGCAGGCTAGGGCCAGGTAACTTAATTAATATTTTAAATTTAACCCCACAATTAATTAAGAAAAAATTACATATAGGTTTCATTGAGTGGACTTATTTACAACTAAATCTCATAAAATTCAGAAACTATAGGTAGGTCCCTTGAGATTTGAGTGCAATTTAAAAATAGACTATAAAGATAATAATACCCCTATTAAACATATATTATATCAATTAAATAATTAATTTATAACTACTTTATCAGCAATTTATAACTATAATTTTAACATTTTATATTTATAAATTTACATATTTAATAGTTAAATAATCATGCATTACTAATAAAATTTCACATTAATTATTATGACTATTTTATCAATAATTTATAACTATAATTTTAATTTTTTATAATTATAATTTTACATATTTAATAGTTAAACTAATCAATTTAATTTAATTACTAGATATATAAAGTTGTAATTGAAAAAAATTAAAGTTATAGTTTTAAATTATTAATAAAATAATTACAAATTATTTGAATGATTTAATGTATATATATTTAATATGAGCAATTTTTTTATTTAAATTTTAAATTATATTCAAATTTTAAGAGAGTTAGTCATAA